AGAAAACACAGTAGCATTCTTAAGTGAAAACACAAATGATTTTAAAAAACTCCAAAAACATATTTTGGAGAATGCGATTTCTAAAATTCAAAGACATTTTTTGAAACCTGTGAAAACTTTTGGGATTCCAAATTTTTTTGAAAACTACGAACACTTATTAAATTGCAAACAGTCTAAGAAAATGCAAACAGAAAGTTAAATGTCTAAACATTTTTTTTTAAAACACGAAACATTTTTGAATTTATGACAAAAATAGAAAACAAGAGTATATTTTAACTTCTGAACAATTTTTAAAATGTGCGGACATTTTCTAAAATTGTAGATTTTTTTGAATTTATAAACCTAATTTGAAAAGACAAACATTTTTCAGAAATCTGTACTATTTATGAAAAACATGACTAGTTTTTTGAGATTTCTAAACATTTCCCGGAAACGTGAACAATTTTTCAAAACACATGAACATATTTTTTTAATTCCTGAGCATGTTCCTAATTTATAAAAAAAATGTAAACAGAAACATATTTTTCTAAATACTGAAATTTATTAAATAAATGAACATTTCGACAGCAGGCTACCTCGCTGTGATGTGGTGGGCCGGCCCAAATTCTCGTTAGTGAGAGTAGCAGTTATCCCGGCGGGATTGAGTATTCCCGGTGTGCCAAACGGGTCTAAGGTTTGAAATAGACCGGGATTGACAAGTTCAGAGTGTCAATTTCCGGGATTCAAAGTTCATGATTCGATCTATCTTTGTTCTACAAGTTCAAGGTCTATTTTAGACTTTTTCCTTTTTTTTTATCGCGCAGGGAAGCGAGGCACGCACACTGGAACGAGGGCACTGACTCGGCATTGGCGTGGGATGGATGCGACGCGTGACCATTGGCAGCATGTGTGCGGCGGGTAGGCAAGGAGGCCAGCGTTCAAGCGGGAAGCAGTGGCGGCGCGCTAGAGAAGACAAGGCGGCGACGTGTACACACATTATGCATGAAACTGTATGCGCCACTCCACACATTGTACACTCAAAATAAATTTGCGATGAAGAAACGTGTGTGCTGTCACGAGTTATCGCACACGATTTGTTCAATCAAACTATGTGCGCGGTATTGCACACGATACTCTTTTCTCAATTGTGCGCGATGGATCAGTGATACAATTCGATTTTATCGCACACAGTTCAACGACAGGGTATGCGACATGAGGCTTAATAGCATTACAGTGGTGAGTGATTCCTAGTTAGCTCATGCCACATCAGCATGTAGGCATCTATAAGATTTTTCCGCAAGTGTTGTACAACATGAGTAATGATACATCTACAAATGGTTACTTTAGGTTCAAGTAACCTTTTGTAGATGTAGCATTACTCTTATATTGTGTACAGGATCATCTGGGCAATGCAAAATTCAGAGGTTTACATTATTAATCCATTTGCTAAAATCATGTTATCACCAACAAGTTCTGCAGAAGAAACATTGGTCTATATCTCATAGGTGATCCCGACCTTGAGCAGCTGATCCTTGGGAATGGCGAGCGCTTTGTGGCTCTCGCTGAGGTTCCTCCTCAGGAAGGTGTACACGTAGTTGACCACGATCCTCTTCATCACCGACGACCCTGGTGCAGCCACCACGTCCGCCTCACCCGTCAGGTACACCACGCCGTGTTCCAACTCTGCGTGGATGAACCGTTTCTCCTCCTCCGCGGCCGCCAGCTGCGCTGCCCGCAGAGCGCCGTCGCTGTCGCCGTCATCGGTGTGCTGGCTGCAGGAGAATGTGGCCTCCTCATAGATGAACAGCTTGAGGCCGTCCAGGAGAGACGCGGAGAAATCCTTGGCGGCCTCGATCTGGTCAGTGTATCCGTAGCGCGCAACGCAGCGGAACATGCGGTGCTCGGCGGGGTCAACCCTTCGGAAGATGAAGCGCTCGGGGGCCGGCACCCGTGGGATGGGCAGGTTCTTGATGACATGAAGACGAAGACGGCGTGCACCGACGGCATCTTGTCGACGAGGCGCAGGAACACGGGAGGGATGCCCTGGACAAGCTCCGAGTAGAGCAAGCCCACGCCGGGCACCCGTCGCACGTCGGGGCGACCCAAGAGCGCCGTGAGCTCCGCCGCCGGCACGACGTGGTCGAGCTCGTACCAGTAGCGGCTGACATGGACGTAGTGCCAGGTGGCCATGAGCGCCATGAGCACCAGCGAGAAGCAGAAGGGCAGGTAGCCTCCCTCGGCGAACTTGGAGAGGATGGAGGACAGGTAGAGGAGCTCGGTGGTCCCGAAGATGACGTAGAAGGCGGCGATAAAGGCGATGTTCTTCTTCCAGACGAGCAGCATGACGACGGTCATGAGATGCGTGGTGATAGAGAAGACCATGACGACACAGATCCCGTAGGCGTTGCCGATGTTGGTGGTGGTCTGGAAGGCGAGGGTGACGACGATGCTGGCGGCGCCGATGAGGAAGTTCACCTCCGGGATGTACACCTGCCCGGCGTACTTCTTGGAGGTGTGCACCACCTCCACCCTCGGGAAGCAGCCGAGGGAGAGCGCCTTGGACAGGATGGCAAACGCGCCGGAGAGCATGGCCTGGCGCGCGATGATGGCCGCCAAGATGGCCACGATGAACGTCGGCCAGAACATCGCCGCTGGGATAGATTTGTAGAAGGTGTCGGCGACGTCTTGCGGGAATTTGTGCAGGTAGGATGCCTGACCCATGTAGCATAGCGCCACGGAGGGGAAGATGATGAAGCTGAAGCTCAGCTGCAACAGGCCGGAAAATGAAGAAAAATTCAGTCCCTGCTCTGAACTAATGTACTAGAGATGAATACAAATGGAGTCAAAAACTGGCATTGGCGAACCTGAATGGCCCTGATGTTGAAATGGCCAAGGTCAGCAAACATGGCCTCCGTGCCTGTGGTGCAGAGGACGACGCCCCCGAGAGAGAGCCACGCCTCTTTGCCGTTCCTTCGGAAGTAGTCCACAATGTACATGGGGTTGAGGGCCCTGAGCACGGTGGGGTCGTGGGCGGCGAGGTTGTACACTCCGATGCTGGCAATGAGGACGAACCACACCGAGATGATGGGCGCGAAGGAGTAACCCACCTTGTCCGTGCCGAAGCGCTGCACCGAGAAGAGCATGAAGAGGATGGCAACAGAGATCCACACCACTTGCGCTGTTTTCACAACAAACCACATCAATTCCCTGGCTGCACAACAAGGTAGACGAACAAATCTCTTGACAAATAGTAGAAAATTTTCGTACGTACATTGGGTCAAGTCGGGCGCCTTCTCCCTGATCCCGCTCACCGCAGAGAGCACTGCAGCAACACAGCCATCAAGCGTCAAATTAATCTATATACAAGCTTAGTAAGGTGAATAACTTGCTGAATGTACGCAGAGTACGTACCAGAGATTGCAGGTGTGAGGGTGCCGTCACCCATGACCATGGAGGTGCCGAGGATGGTAATGGTGAAGAGTGCGATCTTGGCGGCCTTGCTGGACTCGAGCCTCTGCTTCACCCACTGCGCCCTCCTGGTCTGCGAGCTGGGCTCCTGGATGCTGTAGTTGGACACGGACGCGTCCTCGGCCTGCTGGTTGGGGATCATCCTGGTCTTGGCGTACCGCGAGATGAGCGAGTAGAGCGCGAACGTGCCCCCTACATGCACCATTCCCAGTTAATACAATGTCATGCATGTCCATGAACGAACAAACACAAGAAGACTGAAGATTATATATAGAACAAGGTGGTGGTGCTCACCGTCGCCGTTGTCGTTGGCGTAGAGGACAATGAAGACGTACTTGAGCAAGGGCAGGAGGATGAGGGTGTAGAGGATGAGGGAGAGGACGCCGAGGAGGTCGTCCGGGTGCCTGATACCGTTCGGGAAGGTGCCCGAGTAGGTGTAGAGCGGCGACGTCCCGAGGTCGCCGTACACCACGCCGATGCTCTGGAACGCCAGCAGCACCGTCTGCCTCCAGCTTACCTGCATGCGCCCACCATGCTCGAGAATTAACATCGGCCATGGCACAGCTGGTTAAGTAAGTCAACAAGATGATGGATGATTTGGTAGGTTGCTGACCCCGGAGCCGTGGCGCCTGTTGCCGGAGACCTTCTCCGCGTCCCTGTAGAGCGAGTCGCGGCGCGCCATCGTCTCCGCGCCCTCGGCGGCTTCCACCGACATGATCTTGATCTTGATCCCGTCTCGTCTTCAAGCAGCACAACCTGCCAAGCTCGCTGCTGAACCAAGGAAGGGTTTAGTGTGCTGGATCCGTTAGTTCGTCTGCACCACGAGTAGGACACAAACACAAGGGCTTACTTAGTGTGGTGGACGATCGAGATGCCTAAAGGTTGAAGGACTGAATCTTGAAGACCTTACGAGAGCATGAACGAATTTTAATTACACAAATCTTGTAGGAGGATATGTACAAGATCAGTCTAATTTATTTTACTGATCTTGTACGAATCCAGGAGACTTTACGAGAGTATCAACGAATCCTCATGGATTCGTTGGGTCGACGACAACAGTCAAAACACTACACAACCGGAATTCACAAAGGTGATTCTCTACGAACCACCGCACGGACACGCACGATAAAATCGTGGAGACGATGAACGGCAAGGAGGAGGAGGAGATGGAAGAGACGAAGAGAGATAGCTAGGGAGATCGACAGTCCGTCCGGAGGAGATATCGTACCGGCCGGGGCGGGAGGCGAGGATCTGGAGCAGACGCGACGACGACGACGACTACCAGATCGATCTTCCTTGCGCCCTGCGGCCGGCGGCGCGCGAGAGCGGTAAACGAATCCTTTGCCCTGCTGCGCTTCTGCCGGCTCATTATATACTACACGCAGCCACCGTATTTTTAGGAATTTTGTTAGGATTTGGACACGTTGCCAGAGAGGAGGAGAAACAGAAGCAGGCTAGCCTCAGCTGCCCGCCTCTCTACGGCTCTGGCCCATTTGCTCCGCGTCAATGCAAAAAGATTTCTCCAGCCGATTGGCGCACCGGACTTGCCGTGTTTGGCCTTGAGGCGTTCGTTTCTTTCTGTTTTTTTTTTTGGGGTACCACCAAGCTTTATTGATCAAACTCCAGATGGAGCGTTACAAAAGGGATCATACGGCTGTAACAACTAACAACCAAACATATTTCCCTGATCAAGTGAATGCGGAAACTTGGCTAACCTATCCGACATCTACATTGATAGCACCCTTCAAATGTAAAAATACAATTAAATGATAAAGCCCGACGCTTGATCTCCTTAGTTATAGCTCCATATCTTCCATCGCTCTCCCGATCAATGTCGTTAATAACCTGCTTCGAATCCGAAGTTATGATAAAGTCTCTTAGCTGCAAGTCTTCAACCAAAGATAGTGCCTCCCTACGTGCAATTGATTCCACAACGCCCGTTATACCATAAACGACCAGTGCTGAGCTGCCCAAAGGAATTCCGTGATCATCCCTACACGCTGCAGCTGCCGAATCTCTAGCTCGGCCCCTTGCTAATCCAGCATCAACATGGATCTTTGAGTAACCGGGTGGAGGAGGTTTTGGTCGGATAGTTCGACTTGCCTGCTCAAGTAGTGAATGATGCCAAGAGTCTCCAGCTTCCACACAAGCCACACAAACTTGATGATGACATATTCCTAATCTCTCTAATATCCTCTATTGGGAGAGAGTGTTTAGCGAGACGCCATAAGACCATCCGAATATTTCCAGGAATTGGAGTGTTCCATAGAAATTTCCAAGACTCTTCATCATAGTATGTACTAGAAGAACCTGTTGTGCCATCAGTCCAGGCTCCCCTTCTTAATTTAGTTTGTACCATCACATCATATGGTATGTTGATCATACCGAGTAGGTTCCACTTCTTTCAAAAGTCCATGCTCAGGAGTCCACCATATCAGAAGTACAGAGTGGGATACTCAAGATGCATGGTATATCAGGGAGGCATGCCTCCTCCAACCTTGTCATATTCCATGTGGCCGAAATTTGATTTATGAGTTCTGAAACTTTCTCAAAATTGTTGTTGCCACGCCTCCCATAAGGCCTCATCATAACATCTATAGGTATCCAAGTATCTACCCATATGTTAGTTGATTCTCCGCTTCCAATCCGCCTAATGAGACCCAACTTTAATATGTCACGACCTCCAATGATAGCTCGCCATATTTGGCTAGGATGGCTCCCAGGTTCGGCACTCGGGATCATTCCATTTGGAAAGCAAACCCCTTTCAAGATTCTGGCACTTAGAGATTGAGGATTTCGTACGATTCTCCATGCCTGCTTAGCTAGTAAGGCCAAGTTAAACAACCCAAAATGTTTAAAGCTCAATCCTTCTATACTCTTGGGTTGGGTCATGGCTTCGCAAGAAACCCAATTAGGTTTTCATTTTCCATCCTTACTTCCCCACCAAAACTGATCAACATTCTAAGATGTTCAAACAAACGTCACGGAAGCTTCAAATAGGACATAGAATACACATGTGCTGCTAGGCCAATGTCATTGTTTGTTCAATTCACCCTTGCACTTTACTTCATAGGTAGTCCTTACTGTACTGCTACTTGTGAGTTGCGTTAGGATTTTCCCCGAAGAGGAAGGTGAAGTAATATAGTAGCGGATAGTATTTTCCTTAGTGAGAACCAAGGTTATTGAACCAATAGGAGAACCATGCAAATGCCTAGTGAACAATATCTACACACACAAGAGCAAATACTTGCACCCAATGCGCGCAAGAGGATTGTCTGTCAATCCCCTTGAACTCGTTACTTGCAAGGATCAAATCTGATAACGACAGATAAGTAAATTACAAAGTAAAATAAAAAGAGTAAAATTACATAAGGGTATTTTTGGTTTTTGTAATATAATCTTCTATATCTAAATAGCTAGCCCCCACTACTAGGAATTCTCTCGTTTCTCCTTGAGCCACATCATCACTATTAATTTAGCCGTTGGATATACTAGATCAGTCTACAATAACCATCAGATCTACACACTAAGAACCACTACACCAACTACATGCAGACACATGCACGCAAATGTATGTAGTAACTCACGCCTAAAGAGTAATTAAATCAACAAAACAAAAGTCGATGCATGCATGAACAGATACTCGAGTGCTCTATGGAAGAAACTGACACATACATTCATATTTTGTTTTGCTTTGGTTCAATTTTGCACTTATACATATAGATGTATATTTATTATTTATTTATAAGATATTGATAAACAAATTATCTTTCTACAGGAGAAACTGTAAAGACACTAGCTAGGTTGATTAGTTCAGCCCAGTTTTTATTTCATACAAACTCGCGCAACAACGCGCAGGGCATTTGACTAGTTCAAATAGACTCGGGGGCCATAGTTTACACTAGAGGTTTCTCTCTTAGAAAAATATTATTTGGTGGGTACACAAATTAGTGTTGGGTAATTAATAGAAAAGTGCATAGTTATGATGATATTCATGGCAATGATCATGTATATAGGCATTACGTCCATGACAAGTAGACCGAAATTATTCTACATCTACTACTATTTCTCCACCATTTGACCGCTATCCAGCATGCATCTATTGTATTAAGTTCATGATAAACAGAGTGACGCTTTAACCAAGATGACATAATGTAGACAAAATAAAACCAAGCAATATGATTAAAACCCATCGTTTTACCCTTAGTGACAACAATACAAATACGTGCCTCGCTACCCATACTCACTGGGTGAGGACACCGCAAGATTGAACCCACTATAAAGCACCTCTCTCACCGAAGATAAATCAACCTAGTTGGCCAAACCAAACGGATAGATCAGAGAGAAATATAAAGATATAATAATCATCCATAATAAAGTTCAGAAAAGTCTCAATTACTCTGAATCAATATTTCAATCATAAACCCACAATTCATCGAATCCCAACAAACACATCGCAAAAATATTACATCGGATCGATCTCTGAACAGAACATTGTATTGAAGATCAAAGAGAGATAAGAAACCATCTAGCTAATCACTATGCACCTGTAGGTATCTACTCACACATCATTAGTGGTGCAGAAAAGTTGATGTAAAATCCATCCGTGAATGATTCCCCCTCCGGTGGAGTACCGGAAAATGCCTCCAGATGGGATCGCGGAAGAACAGAGACTTGCGGCGGCGGATAAATTGTTTCGGGTGGCTCTCTGTTGGTTTTGGGATTTATGGAATTTATAGGCTTGGAAATAGGTCGATCTGTGTGGGACCCACAAGCTCAGGTGCCCCCCCCCCCTTGGGGCGCGCCGTGTGAGCTTGTGGCTCTCCCGTAGATCTTCTGTCCTCCTCCCGAAGCTTCTAGGGTCCCTTCTGGTCCAGAAAAAGTCACCGTAAAGTTTCATTGTATCTGCACTTCGTTTGGTATTGGTTTTCTGAAAAAGTAAAAACATGCAGAAAATAGGAACTGGCACTGGGCATTGAGTTAATAGGTTAGTTCCCAAAAATGATATAAAATTTCATATAAAGCATCCAAGATTGATAATATAATAGCATGAAACAATAAAAAATTATAGATATGTTGGAGAAATATCAGGTACTTAAAGGAACCGTTCTTTGATGACCCAACATGATGGAAGGCCTAAATATTTTGCACTCAATGACTCATTTGGAACTTGTAGTATGTTCTTAACTTCAAACCTCACACTTTTCCGGACAGCCGAAACTGAAATAGGTCAAAGATTTCTCATTGTTTATGCGTTGTCTAGAAGCCTGACAATACCTGTTCAACAACTGGTTTACCTCATTAGCCCCAGTTACACTAGCTTTAAAAATAGTAGGCTATCATCAGCGAATAATAAATGGTTAACTGGCGGCGCCAAAGGGGCCACCTGAATGCCATTAAGGTTTGATGACTCGTCAATAGATTTTAGGAGGCACGGATGGCCCTCTGCTGCAATCAAGAATAGGTATGGGGAAATTGGGTCTCCCTGTCGAATACCATGTGATGGGGTAAACTGTTGTAGCTTCTTCCCATTGAATAAAACTGTGAACTTAATTGATCTCACCAGACTCAAGACTATATTAACCCACCTCACTGTGAAGCCGAGCTTTATCATTATTGCATGTAAATAGTCCCACTCCACTCTATCATAGGCTTTCATCATATCCAACTTGAGTGCACAAAATCTATTTATGTTGGCCCTGATTCTTTTCATAA